TTATATAAAAAAATTGGGGTAGTTCCATTTAAAAAAACTTAAATGACCATCAAATAATCTTTAAAATCGCTCTTAGAAAAAACAATAGCACCAACTTCTTTTCCTCTAAAAATCAAAAAACTTTTATTCAAAATATTTTTTTTTGAAATTCAACGTTTTTGATATTTTTTAAAATAGAACACTTTATATAAAATGTACATTTAGCTCCACAATATTTCTAATTTTTTTATTTTCAAGCTTTACTATATTTTTTGCTAATAATAAAAATGCATTGAATTTAATATTGATACCTTTTAATAAGAATAGTTTAGAAGAATTTTTGAAATTGTATAGAAGAGACTGGGGACAAAAGTAATATTTTTTGTATTTTAAGTCAGTTATCAATTACCTTTAGAGATATATCACAGAAATGATTATATCTTAAGATACTTCATTTATTGGTCTATTATTATACCTATGTTTCATCTTCGAATGATAGGTATTTAAAAAGCTACTTTAACTTTCCACAAGTGCATTTTTTGTTACTTTCATCCTGGGGGCCTAGGACGAAAGTAACACAGTATAAAAATAGAAGCATTATAAAAATTAGTTCTTATTTTAGAATATACAATAAAAAGACGATTATTTATTAAATATTAAATAATTTTTATAAAAATCAAAAAATAAAACAATTAATTATTATTATCTTCTTTGAAAAACTTAAATGTTCTTTATTAAGCAATAAAATAATTATATTTAAAATCACAGCAGTTTTATAACTTTTTAACTCTAAATAAGTTTACCTATTTATACAAAAAAGATCAAGATATCGATATCTGCTCCAAATCACAATTTTATTTAAGAATATTCTGTGGTGCAAATACTGTGTTACTTTTGTCCCCGGACACATTTTTTGAAATAAAAGCATTACAATCAGAAAACGACGCAAGACTTATCGAAATCAATTACAGAAATTTATAAATACATTTTAGAAGAATGCACCAGCAAATAATTACATCGATATATACACTTTAATTAGTACAACCAGCGCAAGATCATTTTACAACGACTAGTTGAGAGAAAAGAGAATTGGAATATACTTATTTACTGTCTTAATATAAATTATTTAACACGTTGTGTAGGCTGGCAGGAGGCTTGTTACTTTCATAACGTTGTTACTTTTATCCCCAATCTTCCCTATATAAATATATTTTTGCACTATAATATAATAATTTTTAATTAATTTCTAGAAATTTTTTTGTAAAAATTAAGAAGTCCTATTTGCAATTAATTAAAATTATTAGAATATATTTATAATAATTAGATAATTTAGTATACATAAAATTAATTAGAATAATATAAGTATACATAGAATGTTCGTTTTTTTCGTTATTTAAATATTTTTAAAATCGATTAATTTCTAAATTGAAGAAAAGAACCTATATAATCAAAAATTTCTTGAAAGAACTTTAAGAACAACGGGCGAATAAATATATACATATATATCGAATTTTATAAAAAAAATAAAAACTAGTACTAATAAAAATTTGTACTAACAAAATTAATTATATTAAATTAATTATATTAATTTTATTAATTATAAAATTATTTTACAGTAAGAACATTTATTAATTTATATTAGATTTACTTTATCTACCTATTTTATTTTAACTCATAATTATATGTACAAATTATTTATATTTTGTGTTAGAATTTTATTTATATATTTCACTGATAGTTGCTTTATTAATATATAAATTATTTAGAATAATTATATTTTACATATTCAATTATTAGTTTTTATAGTTAAATGAATATACTTTCATATTGAAAAAAAATGCAAAATTATAAAATTTTATAATAAATATAATAAAATTTACTCTGAAATAAATAATAATGATCTTAAATAAGTCTTCCCTATATTAAACATGGTTGTTTAAACAATGATATTTCTAATTTTTTGTTAGATGTAAGATTAATAGAAAATTGATGCACATATTTTAAAATTTGTGACATAATATTGAATAATATAATTTTAAAATTAATTTTTATTCAAATATCTTAATAAATTAATAATACATGAATTTTAAATCGGCCAATAGAGCCAAAGCGCGAAAAATCATTCTTCGGAACTGTATCTCTTGGTTTGAGATTACTAAGTTTCATATATAAATTAATCCCGAACTTACATATGGAGAAAAATAGGCCAGAAAAATATAGGTCCAAAAAGTCGCTGAAGCGGAAACCTATATTTTTCTCGCCTATTTTTCTCCATATGTAAGTTCGAGATTAATTTATATATATGGAACTTAGTAATCTCAACCAAGAGATACAGTTCCGAAGAATTAATTTTTCGCGCTTGGGCTCTATTGGCCAATTTAAAATTCATGTATTATTAATATTATTAATATTGAGAGCCGACATATATTTCTTATCTGATCTTAATAAATCTTTTCTTGCAGATATTTGCATGTATACTTACATAGATGCCCTATAGATATGAGAAATCATCTTATATATATTAATAATATGTGTGTAAGCAAAACGATTACGCAATTAAACCAAAGAAGAAGTCAAAGATATATGCTAGTTATACTTTTCATATTCATGAGCAGTAGTTGCAAAATGAGCCTTGACTAGATCGCTGATGTCAAAGAAAGTTGATTAACTTTCACACAGTCTGTATCCTTTCATAACATCTATAACGCGTATGTGCATAGTTTCTATTTCGTCAGATGTATGAAATAATCCAACTTGCATCCATGAAATATATCTACAGAATTTTTGAATTGATTTATATTGAATTATATTGAATCTTCAAAATGTTTGATATATAAATAACTAAGGATATAAAAGTCATTATGAATTAGAGGCTTTAAGATAATAATATATAAATTTCTTATTAATTAATTTTTAAAATAAATTTTTTTTTAATAAATAACTTTTTTTAATAATTAATTAGCAACAATTAGGCTTTAAGATAATAATATATAAATTCCTTATTAATTAATTTTAAAAATAAATTTTTGTTTCAATAAATAACTTTTTTTAATAATTAATTAGCAACAATTATAAAATCTTTCCAAGAATACTCAAAATTATCTTAATAATATATATATATATATATATATATATATATATGTGTGTGTCAAAAAATCATCTTTTGCTACCTTCTTACATAATCTCTATTAAACTTTAATGAAATGTCAAATACTATTGTAAAAAATGACTATTAATTCCAAACGCATTGCACAATGAATTCTTTACAATATATACGTCAAAGTCAAAGTAATTCGTATTGCATAACATAATTCCTTCTAAAAACTACGATTTTAGGTTTCTAATAACACTACTTGTTTCATGTAAAAATAATATATGTATATAATTATGTGGTATCTCGTATGGAAAAAACTACAAGAATACAAAAAACTACTAGCATAATAATAGTTCTTCAATAACATATTATTGAAAAATTATTATTAATGATAAATTTTTTTCATATTCTTGTAGTTTTTTCCGTATATGAAATATGCAATTAAAAAGCAAATCAATATAAGCTTCTGAAAATAAAACTAATTTCCGCCTAATTGATTGAGGCAGAAATTCGACAACTAAATTAACAAGAAATTATAATCATTTCGATGTATGATTTCCAGCGGAAAAATATGGCATCAAAACAAAAATATTTGTAATATATACCAATCTTCACAAATCTAATTGATGGTTAGCTTTTCTATTGTCAATATTTTCGTTGTTTTATATAATTTTTCAACTTTGAATCATACATCATGCTTGAGAAATAATCACGATTACAAGATAAGAAAACTTTATTTAACGAGCGTAACAGCAAAAATGTCACCGGAAACTATGCAACTTTCACAATCTGCCATAGTGCAATATTGAAAAATATTTATTTTTGCTGAAAAAGATTATAAAGTTTACGCATTTATTGTTATAAATGCTATATAAAACATATCAACGCAATTAATGATTATATATACATATACATATATATATATATATATATATATATATATATGTATATATAATCATTAATTGCGTTGATATGTTTTATATAGCATTTATAACAATAAATGCTATATACACATGTATAGATATGTTTAAATCTCATATTAAAATGTTCTGAATAACAAAGTGAAGAATAAAAGTGATACAATGTTTACAAATAATAACATTTGAGTCAATTCTTAATTCTATTTGAAATGTACTATTTAAATTTTAATAATTTAAAACATGTATAAAGTGCCTTTAAATAACATTTGTACGTTATTGTTGCTTTAATTGTTTTATGATGATCTTAAAAAAATAAAACTTGAATGTACATAAAAATATAGCGCAATATTTAGTCATCGTACAAATACAATATACTTATTAAAAAAGCATTATTCTGCAACAATTATATTTAGATATGCGACATTTTTAAGTATCTCTAAATATTTTTAAATTATACATTATAATTTCAATAACATTCGCTATATATTACAATATTGTAATGTATATTGTAATGTAAATACAAAGTTTTAAAGTGTCAAGAAACAATTTAATTTTTCACTTGACATTTATTTTTATGCTTGTAAAAAAATCGCCTTTCCAATTTATTTATTTTTATTATTTATTATCTTTTATTATTTTTTATTTCAAAATTTTAATAACTTTTATTATATATTTATTATTATTATTTATTTATTATTTAATATTTATTATTTATTATTTTTATTATTTATTATTTATTATTTTATTATTTTTACTATTTTTATTAATTATTTATTTTATTTCAATTTTTAATTGATTTATTATCACAATGTAAATCACTTTTATTAATTTTTGCAACTACACAAATATCAAACTAGCATATATATATATATATATATATATATATATATATATATATATATATATAATATGTCAAATTCGTGCACAAAAATTGGCATTATTCCATTGCTTTGTCAAGGATAGAAAATGCACTTGATGTTCACTTGACAAAATACTCGAAAACTCACCATTATGCTAACCAATCGTCCGGACACGTAGTCGACAACTGACTGAACGGCTTATAAGACCTACTTTCAAACTCTCTCTCTGTCTTATTCTCTTTAGTCGCCTTGACGTATGACCGCGCGTCGACGACCCGTTCGTTTTGCCGATCGGATGAACCATTAAAATTGAAAAGCTATTGAATTTCAGAAGAGCATCGATATGCAGAAGTGTAAAATACTCGATGTAACATCGAACATTCTATGATGAGATAAATGTGCATCTTTCTTCCATAACATAAAAATATAATATCTCATATATACAGGTTGGATAAAAACAAATTAATAATTAGTTAAAAGTTAAAAAAGGTTGAAAAGTTAATAATTTTTAACTAAGCTTAATTAATTTAAAATGTATTAATTTTTAACTTCAATATTTTTGATCTTATAAACTTTTATTATATTATTTGACTTTTATTATTTTACTTATATTATTTAACTTTCTCCCTAAATTTTTTTATCTCTAAATACCATTATTGTTTTTACATTAAATTAAAATATTGTTAATTTTTATGTTCATTTATTGTCATCAGTTGTAATTACCAAAAAATATATTTCTATATAAAAATCAAAATTTCTTTGTTATTTGTTATTATATAAAATTAAAAACAAAATTTAATATCTAATCTAATTTAATATAAATAATGTTTTTGAAAATTAACTTTTTTATTTAACTTTAGTTAATTTAATCTTAACTTTAACTGAGTTAATTTTTTGTTCATGCAAACTTAATTTTGGACTAAATTAATTTTATAAGCAACTAACTTTAACTTAACTTATTTTTAAAAAATTATTAACTTATCCAACCCTGTATATATAGAATGTTTATATATCTCATATACGTGATTTAAATGTACATTGTAATAAAAAATAAGTACAAAAATGTAAAATGCTTATATTTTGTATTTTGCATTTAAGATACATTTTTCCAAAATATTTTACATTTTTATTTAAATAAATTTAAATTTTTATTAACTATTTTCTATTTCAAATGCATTTTTCTCACAAATTAAAAATTCATTGAGATATCAATAATATATGTATACCACGTCCTCATTATGATATTACTGGTTCTAATTATGAAAAGAAAATGAGACACTCTCTCTTTAAAAAAAACTTGTTTTTCTGAAAGAACGTTTCACTTCTAAAAAATATTGTAATTAAAATATCATTGTAAAAAAATAACTGAACGTCTGTAAACAATATAAATAAACATTTTTTTATAATTTATATGTAAATGTTTATGTACTTTAATTTTTGTAATTCAAATTTATATTATAAAAAATAAGAATTTATAAGTATAAGAAATAAGATATATATATATATATATAAAATAATAAGAGGAATATAAATAATAAAAATTAGAATTTAAATATATGCATGTATAAATAAATTTAAATATAAATTTAAAAAATTATATTTTCAATTATACATTATATATATACAAGTATACACTATTACTCCATTTGATATACATTAATCTGATATCAATATATTGTAATCAAAGATGTGCAAAAATGGGTATCCACTTATATTTCAAATATAAAATATTTTAAAAAATTATTTTAAAAATATCTATTTTCCTTTTTCTATTTTAAATGGATATCTAAAAAGCATTTTGCATTTTATATTTGAAATATAAGTGGATACCCATTTTTGCACATCTTTGATTACAATATATTGATATCAGATTAATGCATATCAAATAGAGTAATAATGTATACGTGTCGAATTTTTCAAATAGAAATGAAACAATTTACTTTTTTTCAAACAAAATTTATTTATTCAAAATAATTACATACAGCCTGAATACACTTTTGTCAAAAATTTTCAAATAAATAAATCCCTTTCTTGAAAAAATCCATAGATTTTGAATCGATAAATTCTATGCTTTATTTTATTTTTGTACTGACTTTTTATTTCAAAAATTTTTTATAATTTAAACGTTTAAAAAATGAAACTCAATTAGAATTAATAAGTATATAGAGAATATATGTATTTTTAATGGACATATTTCTACAAATCTTAAGGGTACAATTGAGATAAAACTTGGTATCTTAGGGATTTTTGAGATCATAGATTATTATGTTTGAGGTTAAAATCGACACGAGGTCACAGTCATATACACAGGTCTTAAACTCTCATGGTAGGGGTAAAGAGCTATTAATGAATGTCAAAAGTTTCTTGATTAACACGCTAGGAACGGGTAAGGTTGGGTTAGCCGCGAGTCCGTAGTTTTTTTTTTTTTTAAATGACTATATCAAACTCCTATGTCATATATATTATATAAATAATCTGTTTAATTAAAATTTCACGAAGTTATGTCACTTATTTTATGAAATATCTGGACGAAATTCTCACTACATTCATAAGGAGCAGGTGAATTTCTGTGGTAACATGCCTGCTTGACAAGTAGAGAGCATCATTCCATCTTTGTCTCTCTTACATCGCATATGTAGTAGCGTCCATGTAGGTACAAACACTAATACGTGAGCACACGGATGCAAATATTGAGAGATAATGTCAGCAAAAAGGCTATCATATTAATATTATTTTTTTGTATATGTATGCATATGTAAATAAAGAACAAAAATAAAAACTATTTTAAGATGATATTTTAAATTATCATCATTTGCATTTTATTATAAATTAATTATATTATTTTTTATACCATAAAACTTTAAAATACTTAAGAATATCAAAAAAATATTAATAAAATTTCTTAAAACATATCTTATATGCATCTGTTAATTTGTACAGATATAAACTCTTTACATAGCGATCACAGCGCTTGCGGATTTATGAACCACAAATCATGCATTAAGAGCCTTACCCCCAGCCATGAGAGTTTCCAACCTTGTCAGAGAGAAGAATAGAGAGCCACGCCGCCGTTTTCGTCAAAAATATTTTTCTAGGATTCACTAGCGTTTTTACATCCATTTTATAGCGTTTTGGAACTACATTTTTCACATCCACTTTCGATGTTTTTAAAAGATTCAAATTTAGTTCATGTCCGTGCTACATCCACAATTGATAGACCAGAATACGACGAAGATCAGAGTTCAAGACCATATGTTTACTTTTTTATTTTTTTTATTTTCAAATTGTTTTATGAATAAAAAATATTAAATATATAAATCAATTGTATTATATAAAATATTGATCAATAATTTATATTCATTTACAAAATAACATCCCTGAAAATTAAATTGATTGCACAAAAAAAATAAAAAAAAATAAGAAAATAAATATTGAAAATAAAATAAATATATTTGTATAAAAATAATAAAAAATTAACATAATATTATAAAATAAAAATAAAAAAAAAAATAAAACTTATGGAAAATAATTTATCATAAAAAAAAATTTCTATAATAATATATTTTAAATGAAATTAAATGAATAATTAAATATACTTTATACTTTAAATTATACAAAAATTGTTATATAATATAATATATGTATATTAATATTTTTTATTTAATACATATACCACGTGTACAAAAATGTATATATATATATATATATAGGTGTCCCGAATTTTGCGAATTAAAGTACCATAGAAAGAAAGTTTCTCGAAAAAGTAAATTATGAAAATTGCATGGCAAATGCTCGTGTACAGATATACACATGCGCATACGCATACACACACTTCGATATTGAGATATCGTAAGAATCTGTAAGAATTTTCGGAAAGACATCTGAAATGTGTGGTAGGGTAGAGGAGGGAAGAGATCATATTGCGAGCAATTGCGAGTCGACGTATCACTCGCTATCTTGATAATCTCGTGAGAGAAGTATACGCGCTGTTTGTGTTAGTCGTGCTTCGCGATTGTCCGTAAGGATTTTACACGCAAATTATCTGTAAAGGATTTTTTGTGTTGTGTGCGAAGTGCGTTGTTCTGATAAGTGCAAAATTGTTCACGTTTCAATAATATTATAAAAAATAACAATAGTTATAAAAAATAAAGAAAAATGTCTAATCAGTGCCGTTTAGATACTTTTACGATAAGTGCATGTATAAAAACTGTACGAGTTCAAGATCTCTAGGAAAACGTTTATATAGATTCCCATTGCAGACTGATAACAGATATCATTTATGGATAAGCAACAGCGGTAAATTTTTATATCATCTTTAATTACATATTCTGCTATATTTTGTACTTGCACTTTTTATTTCTATTCAATTTTGTTTTACTTATATTCAATTTGTTTTAATAATACAATCATAAGTATCAGAAAATTATAGAACATAAAGTTTATTTTTATATTCTACAAAAAATGTTATATTCTTTTTTTATATATTTTAATATTAAACTCTAGAATAAATATTTAATTTTTTTATTATTTCGTGATAAATTCCTTTTCTTTCCTTTAAACTGAATAAATAAATAATTGATACTGCTCTTTTATATTGCCTACTTTAAAGCTCTTTTGCACTGCCTTTTTACTAAATTTAGACTAAGACAACGATAATAAATAAAAATAAACTAAAATAAATGAAAGTAACCTTAATTAAAATAGATCTCAATAATTAAACATTTAATTATTTCGTGATATAATTATGTGCATTTATTTATTGTACTATTATCTGCAACTCGTGATATCTAATTATTTAAAGGTTTATATGAAATATTTACCAATATTTATTTTGTATTAATTGATA